CACCGCCTCACTCGAATTCGCTATAAAGCGCAATCAGTGAAACAATTCTATCGCAAAATCGACAAGCCAGTTCTTTTTAGAAGCTTATCTATGTCAGTAACAATCATACACGCTTTGATGCTTGAAGAAAGTGTTCATAACAGACATTCCTTTGTTTGCCCATAACCACAATACCTTCTGAAGTCAGAGGTCGTGGGACCAGTTCTTATCAATTACTCTATCCATTTTCAAAGTCTGCTGCAACATGCGCATTGAAACCGCGCATTAGAAAGATAGATTCCACTGTCAGCGGTTCGCAAAAAGCACCGACAACTACCTCCATGTGAATTCATATTCTCCCTCCAAATTAAGCACCTGTAATATGGTAATAGTTTTTGCGTATTCTAATTTCAGCCGAATAAATGCGAAATCACTTCGACTTTCAGGCTCTTATTCAACAATTCTGCTAACCAGTTCAGGTTCTATCAGAATAACACATCTGAAAAGAATCGCTTTCATCCGCAGCTTGAGAATTCCATAAATATGATGCTTCATCGACGAGAGGCCAAATGCGTTCTCCTGCTGTTTCCGTCTGAGTAAGATGTCCCAATTACTGACTGTGAGCTACTACTCTCGGATGATGTAGTGGCATAGCGCTTTTCTTTCATTCAAAATCAGTAACCGCTCAGTTGGTGACCATTTTCTTTGTTTTGTTCTTGTCGGTCTTCAACAACCGTCTTTGTACTGCAAACGCCCCCGGTGTCAGAGGGCATAAAGCATGCACTGATCATCGACTTTCCAGAGTCCGCCTGAGTTCCCGTAAAACCTGCGCGGCCCTAGCTAACTAAATTGACGGCTCAGCTAGGATAAAGCTCGGAAACGACAATACCACGAACAGGAGGTGGCGAAGTTATTAGGGACCCCTGACAGCTTCAGCAACCCCTTTCCATTTTCATCGAGGCATGGGACTGCCAACAGCAATGTTGAAACAGTATGGAAAGAAAATGAAATGTAGCAAACTAGAAATCCGATGTTTTGAGGTAGCTACCATGAATTGAAGCTTACAGGTTCGCCAACAAAAGTTACAGTTCCTGTGCTGACATCGGATTTGGAGGACGAAAAAGTAGTATAAAATAAGAAAAGTTTTGATTAATTTACACCAACACTTCGCTGGAGTGAGACAGGTAGAAGCTATTAAACCGGAAAAGGATAATCTATTTTTTGTCTTACTTAAGTTTTGACTGTGGTTTCTACAGTTTCTTTATGAAAGCCTATCGCATCACTTTCAGAGAAATGCATTATTGTATTTTCTTCTTTAAAAAACAAGCAGACAGCGAAGAGTACACAAAAGAATACACTAATGAGATTCAGAGCCTTTCAACTGTTCGCGCAGCAACAAAACACTCTGCTTTTGGTCGGCTGGCAACATGGCGATCTGTTCGTCTGTCAACTGCAGAACCTGCATAATCAACGCTGCCTTTTCCTGGTCCTCGGAAGAAACCGCAGCGACGTTTGAATAACTAGAGGACGCAACGGTGGACGGTACGTTGTTTGACCTCTGCACTGAAGTAACTGGCGCGTTCAGTAGGACTGGATTGCGAGTTCCGCTTGGGAAGGCACCCATGTTCGTGAACGGTATCTGCAATGATGCATATGGTGGATAGCCGAGAGGCGGCGGAATTGGAATACTTCGATAATCTACATCAGTTTTTGGACCAATCGACATCAGAGGGGCTCTGACTGACGGAATGACAACAGCCGCAGAAGAGCCCGAAACAAGAGGCATAGCAGGAATAGACATATTTGAAGGATAAGAACTTATGGGGGGTATCATGGATTGAGTCACAGTTAGAGGTGCTCCAACAGTATTCGAGACGCCGCTCACCGGAGGAGGTAGAATGGGTGGCAGAGGCACTGGCGCGTCGCGATGCAGCATGGACATTGCGACCTGTGGGTCGATGATGCGCATCACGACTTGCGCCTGTAACAACCCATATGCCAACTGTGGATTTTGTAGTAGCATGTTCCTGGCCTCATTCGGGTTATTCTCGACACACAACTTCATCTGCTTCATTAGCTCAAGCATCTGTTCGGGAGGCAAAGAAGCGACGGCACGTGAGATCGCTTCGGGGGCTTTCTGTGGTGGGCATGCAGGACCATACGGACTTTCCTCGGAAGGACCTCCAAATGTCATTTGCAGCTGCCGTAGTTCCTCTTTGCTTCGGTCCCCAGCTGCAGTGTCAATGCGAAGCAGTCGCCCATGAAACTCAAAGCCGTTGAGGTTTCGCAATGCACTCATTGCCGTCTCTTGATCCATAAACTCGCAAAACCCATAACCTTTAGGTTTGCCGCTTTCACGATCAAATACAAGTCGGAATCCGACTACTGGCCCCACCTGGGAAAATAACGTCTTGAGTTCTTCTTCAGTAGATTCATAAGGGATGTTGCCGACGAAGACCGATCGTTGCGACCTTTCGGCAGCCGTTGCAAGATTCGACTGCGCGGGAGTCGAGGTGCTGGACATCGTGTTGAGGTTAGCCACCATTAACCTTTAACAAAAATTGTTGATCACTCCACAAAATAAGGCAAAGGGACCGAAATTATCGTTTTTCGGAACAACTATCTTTGAAATTCAAATATAAGTGTGAATTCACAATGCTTAACCGTTATACTTATAACAGTTGTATAATATAACCGCGATTGAAGGACGACACCGAAATTTTCAGATGTCAAATTTAAATTTCCATTTCAAGGAGGGTGAAGGTAAACCATGTACGGGAATAAAGCACACGCATCAGACAGCAAAGTCATAAGTCAAGTCAACTGCCATAATAAACAGTGCCTATCCATATTACAGCAGTGGGATGCGGTGTGTACGATAGAACAAGGAATAAAATATTCGGTTTACTATTAACCGGAAATTTACACGCAGTTAAGGGCCAATGCAAAGTGAATTTGGCGCGAAGCTATTCATCAAATTTGTGTACCACCTTCATGTGATTTACAGCTTCCTATTCTGTAGGCATGGAATACCAAATAGTCAAGAAATCACCTCAGCCCATCAACCATAACAACGTTCAGCCATGATTCTTTACAACTGTCGTGTGGTTCAGCTCATTTCCTAGAGCAGCCACGTAGGCTCGCCAGGTTCCTCAGGGAGCCAGAAGCAGTTAGTCGATACTATGGCAGGAACACTAATACTGCTAAATGTTTTCGCCTTAAGGGCTGGATGGCAAACTTCTGGCGTTCACTGTTTGAGAAGTCTTCCTTTGACAGTTTTAAGCGTCCAAAGGTGATTGAGGACAGTCTTAGGCAGTGAAATTTTCTGACAGAGGTTACAAATATAGTTTATGTTCATCTCAGAGGAGAAAAAATACCTCGAGGCTATTTTTAAAACCTTTTCCGGAAAGCCCGGGTCGTCATAACATATGGGCGAACAATAAACAGAGAGTGAAAAATCAGCGATACCATAAATCAGAAATCAAGAAGTCCACTCCGATAAGAACTAGTAGGAGAGCTTCGTTTATTGCGCTATCAGAGATGAAACGAAGTGCATTAGAACGAAGCACATATTAGAGCAGACGCCGCACAGTTACACTCTTACATCAAGCTTTGAAAGCTACGCCATTACGAGACTAAAGCATAATTACGGCCTAGATATCCGCTTTGTCCAGTTCTTCCATAGAAACAAGAATGGCTGCTCACTTTGCTGAAAGGAAATAGAAATAAGTAAGAGCATATTTAAGCCACGACTGGGCCTTGAATAAAGCCGATCCTTCGTTTAAAGCAGCGACTTAGCTACTGCCCCTCCCCATGCAATGGCAATAAATCGTAGGCAACGTAGTTTAACACATGAGATGGAGAAACCCGAAAAATAACCAAGGTAATTTAGAAAAATGGAGAAGCTCTGAAAGCCATGCATCATACTTCAGGCAGCACAGACTGCACAACTGATCAAAGCACAAGTAAAGCGCACATCTTTATCAGCGGTTAACTCTAATGATCGGTTTTGAAATAGATAGCCATATATTTAACATTAAACGATAAACAGCAAATGGTAATTCCAACATGAACTCAACTCGTCATTTTGTTAAACGAAGAACATTATATTATGCATAACGCTGTACACGTTGAAAATGGCATAAATCTATTTCTTGATCACATCAGATAATAAGTTCATCATTACATATAAAATAATCGACGGATTACACTTGGCGATCGGTCTTTAGGGAGTAAACTGAGAAAAAACTGCTGCAAGTTAGCCAGGATTTATTTGCACCGTTGCACTTTGTACGCAATAAATGGAAATCTTATACATAGTAGACAGTACAACAACGCACGGAGTTTGCAATTTTTAATTATATTCGAAAAGATAAGATTCAACTTCAGTCTTTAAACAGTCATTTGACAGTGAACATCACCAAAATAAGGCTATTTCAAAATGCACCACCCTACGGAAAGAATTTAATATAAATAATTCTTTAAAACACTGCAATAATATAGCACTGCATTACTGTATTACTTTATGCTAATAAGAATACAATGTTTCAATGAACAATCCGTAGAACACTGCGAAATAATTAAATCCCTGAATGCTAAACCGCGGGTATAATACAGTAATCAGTCTCAAGTAAAAATTAGGTACAGTTATACGGAAAAATTCTAAATGCAGTATTTTATCATTAGAAAATTAGCACCATTTCGCTTGAATAGGGCGTTTTGGAATCTGCTATGTTAGTTAAAGGCAAGCCACATATTTGCTTTATTGTAACATAAGTATAATCATACCAAAAGTTCTTTCATCACAACATAGCCAGAGAAAACTGCAAACAGAATTGGTAAATTACAATGGTGTCAAGTTGTCCATTCTAACCTATTCAGATTATAAATATTCGTAAAACAGAAGACCAGGAAAGAGGTGAGTAAATTTTGATTGAATGATACAATGAAAACAGGCCTGCATATCAATAAGTAGATGTAACTTCTTTGGTAAAAATCAGCAGTAAAAATCACTAGATGCATCGATCAAGCACTTATGCAAAAATGCATCAAGCGACACATGATAAATTACTTTGGCGATCACTAAGTTCATACCGATATATTCCGCGTAAATATTTTTGATATAATTAATGGTGATGTCCTTTCCTAACAGTTGTACTGAATGCGCTTCAGGTACATTAATTGGAACAATACTGCAATCAACATGCGATGCCTGAATGGACATGTCTCAGACAAGGTTTTTGGTCCAGTTCAAACAGGTCTTAATAAGCTGCCGTCATATTACCAAAAACCAATCTCCGGAAGAAATTTAACAGGTCTTAATAAGTATCATTCTTTTATATACGATGATTAATATACGGGGAAAATTTAATTGTAGCCGTGATGGCGTATTTAAGTAAAAAACTGATTTAATCGTCATTTTTTCTGCTGTGATGATCATTTAACGTCGCAAGCAGCTATATTTTTTACCGTCGGTTACCTGGTTCCATGGCAGTAGTATATCATCTTAGCAATTCCAGTTTTACAGCAAGCCAATCTGTAGCACAGTCGAATATTTTGCAGATCTGTCTAAACCGGATTCGTGGGGCGGCAGTTTCATGAGACGTTCAAGATAATATCGGTATTCACAATATAGCTAATACTTTCTTGTGATAGCATGATTTAATAATCAAAATAAAAACTACTGTCTATTAAAATTTTCAAGTTAATGGCAAGCCAACGTTTTTGTCAAAAATCGCAACTCTACGGGATATAGAACTAATCGAACGAGAATCCATCAAGCGTAACATCTCAAATAATCAGCGCACATTCTGACTGAAAAATTTTTCTAAGAGACGGATCATGTAGATCTGAGACATTTAAACGACATTTCAAAACACTTGCACGAGTAGTGCAATATTCATGATGAAGAAATTTTCCCGTGGCTAACAATTCAAATAATATCGTTAGCCTGACACATCTTGCAGATTCAACATTGCATGAATTCATTATGCGGGAAATGCTCATGTTTTGGAAAGTCACGAAAGAATGAAGAAGGCTCAAGATGTTCAAATAGAAATATTTTAGAGTTGAATAGGTGTCGTAACAACCTCTGCCCGTCTTTAAAATTACTAAGAGTTTGGCGCGGCGTCAATTTCTCGCCGCTTTTGTTTACCCGTATGATTCACCATGCAGCTTCTATGATTGGTTCTGTTTCATGTCACCAACACCTGCGAAAGATCACGATTGACGAAACGGATCTTTGGATCAAATGAGCTTGCTTGATCGGACACGTACGCCATTTTTCCAGCATGATGCAGAACATCTTTGCTGAAGATATGGCGCGATTTAATTATTTTTCACATAGTCCTGTGATAGCCTAAACTCTTTTGTTTGTCTCCGTATTCAACCGTCTTGCTATAGAACTTATTCTCGAGCATGAGCATTCTACCATTTATTGAGGCACTTCCGGCTTCGTTCCTCAAACAAGTTGTCTGTTTCGTTATGTAAATGAAACCACATCAAGGGTAGAGCATAAACAGACAAGGTGGCTTCTGCCTTCCAGACCTTTAGGTCTTCATGTGGCTAATGCGACT